TAAAAAGAGTATAGAGATGGATGGGTGATGCATCAACAGATAAATGATAAACAGATAGAATCTAACGCTATCTACAAATATCAATAAATATAAAGATATATAATATGCACATATAGAAAATATTAAATAGAAAGAAAAAGGAAGAATATGCAGAGAACAAAATCAATGATTGAAGGAGACTAGCTATAATGCAAAGATTGGTTGGGCAGGTTAAGACACTAAAGTGAGGTATCAAATGTTTATTTTTCTTATCATTGCATATTTAAATATCAAGTAAACATGTTATTTGAAGTTTAATAATAGTATTTAGGGGATGAAAATATACAGTGAAATTCATAAAAATCTAAACATTTTGTTATAACCACAGTAGTTTCAAATCCTTGCATTCTTAGAGTACATTCATCTTTTTTATCTTTCCTTCTTTTTAAAAAATTTTTATGATGCAAAATTTCAAACAACCTGTGATCAATTTTTTTTCATTTATATGCCCACCCCCCACATCTCTACCTTCATTGCTACTGGTTCATTAAGAATTTTCAACATCGGATTATTTCATTCATGTTTACTTTAGTGTATATCGGTAAAATATGAATTTAATAAAAACTTATCCACCATACTATTGCCATGATTAAATAAATTAACAATAATTCTGTAGTATTCTCAAATATTCATTTTGAATTACATTTTCCCAGTTGGCTTATAATTTTTATTGTTGATTTTCTAAAATTAGGATTCAAACAAGTTTTAAACATTATAATTGCTCGATATATATATATACGTATATATATACACGCACACACATTTAGTTCTCATTATGTTATCACTTGCTTACTTATTACTAGTCTTAAATCAAATTATTTTGTTATTTCAACATGCTGTACAACTTTCTACTGGAACACCTTTTCTTATCTTCAGTATTCTCATCTGAAATGACTTTCCTCTTATTTTTTACTTGGCTGGTTTCATCTAATCCTTCAAGTTTCATTTGAAATTTCAACTGCTTAAAGATGAATTCTCAGTCCACCAGTTTTAAAGCTTGATCTCTTCTTCAACTGTCTTTCTCTATCTCACCCCACTTTGTATATCATTTTCAAAGTACATTATCTCTGTTTATAGCTGTAGTATTGATCTGTTTTCTTATCTTTTAATTTGGCTTCTGTGCTGGAGAAGAAATTATGCGTTTCATTTTTAAACAAATCCTCAATGGTCAGCACTATACCTAATTTATATATACTTCAAGTGTGGTTTATTTAGTAAAGGAGCAAATGAAGCCCTCACTTTTACTCTATGGTATTGGTTTCCTACATCAATAGAATCATAGATATTGTCCAATAATAATTTTTTTCATATTTCTACTTTTGACTTCAAACTTCTCCATATTTTAAATTATTTTAGTCTCTCCAGTTTCAGAGAAACACTTACTTCAGCTCCTTGAACAACTGGTCTTATCTTTGCCCAACCCTCCCAGGATTTCTCTTTTTTCCTCTAGTGACTCCTTCCACTTGACTACCGAGAACCCAAGACATTCTGTCCTAAACTCTATTCTTCTCTTTCTTGTCCTTCTATGTCTAATGCTTTGACTATTTTACAATCTATTTCATTACCTAATGTGATCTCTGCCAACTGCCCCACTAAAATGTTTCTCAAAAAAGTTTAATTTATCAATCACAAATATCTCTTTTAGGATTTATTCTGGTCAGACTTTCCACTGCATTTGACTCTAAGATTCTTGTAGCAATCTTAACACTTAATCAATTTTGCTTTGTATCTTTTCATACTTTCTCTCCTTTTACACTACATTTAAAGTATAGACACATTTCTATTTTAAACTCTGATCATTTTTTTAACTATTCTTACTATCTCAAGTTTCACATCTACTTCATTGTTCACCTCTCTATGGAAACTCAATTCATTAAGTATTATACTTTATATACATTAAGTTCTCAATAAACATTTACCAAGTAGAATTGACTTGTTATAGTATGCCTTACTCCTAACCTTTTCAGATTTGAATCTGTCAAGTGGAACTAGCATGACCACCTCAAAAGTATCTGCCTGATAGATCAATGAAGCATAATCTGAGTTAAGAAATCCTTCTTTTAAAAATGATATAGCTTCAAGAGAAACAAAACCATCTGTCAATGAAGCATAATCTGAGTTAAGAAATCCTTCTTTTAAAAATGATATAGCTTCAAGAGAAACAAAACCATTTTCTATATATTTTCTACATTAAATAACCATACTGGTTACTTCTTTGCATTTTTGGAGAAAGGAAAATGTGAAGTAGAGCATTGCTAGAGATAGCATGGGACTTATGAAATATGAATATTCTTTTTTTAATATTGAGTAATAGATGTCCCTAAAAAGTTTAATGCTGAATTAGGAAAACTCTTATTGATCTATTTTAAATCTAATATAAAATAACTCATATAAGATAGAGTCTCAGTCTTTTCACCACATCCCAAATACCCTCTCCCACCAACTGATAGTTTTTCAAAATATCTGAAATTTGAGACATCTTTAGAAGGAATTATGACTGTCTTTGGTATGTTAATTCTGCTACTTCTAATAAAATTGTTTTACTAAGTCTCAGCTTTAATTGAGTTCTCTGGTATTTGTAATTTCCAATTATATGTGGAAGGTCTACAGGTCATAGTATAATCCTTACACAAAGAAATAAAAGGTATGGAGCTAGAAAATGGAAGGACAGAGATTGGATCAATATGATAGGGTAAATACATGAATCGCTCCCTATCGAAATCACAAAGTATTTTAAAGAGGGAGTTCATCAGTTGTCCAATGACAAGTCATTTTATAATTTCACTTGTATTACATCATTTTAGAATGACATTTATATTATAAACTGATGTATCATAAATAGAACAGCCTTTTTAAGATGTGCCTAGACATTATAATTCAATAATTTCAGAAGGACAGTCTTACAAGGCTGCCATTATGGTTTTGGCCAGGTTGCATTCATGTTTGGAGACTTGACTGGGAAAGAATCCACTTCCAGGCTTATTTAAGATGTTGGCAGAATTTATTCACTTGCTCTTATATGATTGAAGTCTCCAGCTCCTACCTGCCTGTGAGCTGAAGTTTGCCTTTAGGTTCTGAGGCAGCCCACAGTTTCTTATCACGTGGGCTGCTTCAACTTGGCTGCTCACTTTAAGTATGCAAGGAGAGTATCTAGCACCAGTCTTTTAAGATGGAGTCTTATAGCACATGATCTAATCCTAAGGTTCTAATACCCTACCACCTTTGCTATATGATATTGCTTAGAAAAGGATGACAAGCCCCCTGCACACTCGACAATGGATAATATACAGGTGTGAACACAAATGAGACTCATTTGGGACACCTTGAGGTCTGACAGAGGTCTCAATAAATATGTTTGATTATTTATGTAGAGAGAGATGCTCATCCTAGAATAAAAGGAAAGGGTAGAATACTAGAGAGAGTTCTTAAGAAGATAAAATCAGTAAACTGCCAATTCTCCCCTATATAGAAGGTTAGTAAGGATTTGCATCTTGTGTAGTACAGTAAAGGGCAAGTCAGTAGGCCTTGGGACACATGATGTACCCTGCTCCTTGTCTGTATACACCCTTGGAATCTAATCCTTTCTGCATCAAGTTAATTCTTCTCACTGTTTAGTATGGTTTACTTTGAGGAAACATGGGTACATTAGTATTCATAAAATGAAACAAGAAGAGCTAGATTAGGTTGTATTTACAAATATCCCTTACCAAATTTTAGTGGATTAAAATCATATACATTTAAATCTTATTCATGCTACATATCCATCATGGCTCATAAGGGCATTCCACTTCCAGTCTCCCTCAGTCCAGGACTCAGGCTGCTAGAGCAGCTATCTGGAAAATTGTTGGTCTCCTAATAGGAACAAAGGCTACATGGCAAATTGTACAGTAGCTCTTAAAGATTCTACTAGAAGTAGATATTTGTCACTGATCTTCATATTAACTAACGTTAGCCACGTGGCCACACTAAATTTCAAAGAGGTGGACCATGAAAGATAATTGTAAATATATGATGGACTAGGCCAAAAGTAACTAAGAGGAGATGATATTACCCATTGGAGAAAAGCCATCACATTACCCTCCAGACAGGGAAGAAACAAATATACATATTTTTGGTGTGAAATCAGATGAAGACAAATTAGCAAAATCTTTGTTTACTCTCCAGAGTTTAATTAGATAGTTTGGGGAAGCTCAAGAAAAGAGGACTTTCTTGTTTCCAGCACCTGCTCCTGTCCCCAGTCAAGTGTCCTCTAATACCATTAGAAGAAAGCTTGGTGTGATTTATATATGTACCAATGCTGCTTTTATACTTTTCATACTTTTTACTTACCTTTAGACTCAAGTATTTCTTTTCTTCCTCTGTACATTGCATTGTTTTGCTCAGCAGAAGAATAATACAGGAAAGACAATATCAATATTTTCTGCATATTGTTCTCCACAATTTTAACTTAGAGAAAATATCATGCAATTGCTATTATGTGTATCTGTGGTACAGAAGTTTTGAGAATGACCAAAGGAGATTAAATAGATAATAGATAGATGTGTAGATAGATAGCTAAAATGAATAATAAATAGGCTGAATAATAATACTGCACATTATTATTCTCAGAGTTCGTGGTAGATTGGAGGAGTGGAAGTTCTGAACAAGTAAGATTTTTATTGCTTCTTCTCATGGGCACACCCATATTCTTGTTCTTGATTTCCTTTCTGAGAATTTTCCTTCTTTCATGTATAATAGCTGTTGAAATTCATTATCAGTAAAGCTAGGACTCAGAAAAAAAAGTCATCTTAAAAAGAAGACTCATATTTTAGAATTCAAAAATGGAGATGTTATGATATTAAAAATGATGGTAATCCATGAAACAAGTTAAAATGGTGATAGGCACAAATTATTTTGATGAATGTGGGTATGAATCAGATTATGATGACTGAGTATTTTTTAAAAATAAGATTTTTTTGTGTGTTTACTTTGGCTGCACATGTACTAAAATTGCAACAATACAGAGATTAGCATGATCACTGTGCAAAATTGACATGCAAATTCATGAGCTATTCTATATTTTTGCAATGATAGTTAACAATATTACATTGTGTATTTAAAATTCACAAAAAGGTGCTCCCTTCAGCCTCATATATATTAAAATTTGCAAAAAAGGTAAAGCTTAAATTAATCTTCTCACTACACACACACACACACACACACACACACACACACACACAATGGTAACTATGCAGAGGTGATGGATATGTTAAGTAGCTTCGTTGTGATTTTTTTATGATATTTACATATATTTAAAACCATGTTGTACACTGTAAACATATACAATTTGTATATGCTAAAGTATATCAATAAAGCTGTTAAAAATTGAAAAACATATGATTCTTTAAAGATAGGGTGTGTTGTCATTTGGAATTTTTACTTAGTCTTCAAAATTTCATGGATCTTTCATTCTAAAAATCAAACACTACGAAACAGGAAAAATATAATTAATATTCATCCTGTGTGAGACATTTTATATGTATATGTATATGTATAGTCTGAATCTGTGTGCTAATAGAAAAAAGTAAGTTATGATCAATAATTTTGATTATTTAAAAATATATATCTAGTTTTCATTTTCTTCTTTATACAATGTCATTTTCACTACAGCAAAGAAAAAATGTTTACCTAATTAATATTTATGTTAATCAGGAAAATACAATTTAATTTTCTATGAATGACTAATTTTCTTGATTCATATACCTTGTGAGACCATTACTATGATCTATAATGAGAAGATGGTTGTTTTATTTTGATGATAGATCTTGCCTCTTTTTAATGATCTTTCTAGCCTTTTTCTCTGAATTTCAGAGAAAGTCCAAGAACCTTAGATTTGTTTCCAGATATTGATAAAAGATTGTAGGAGAGGAAACAGAATCATTCCAATGTCCTAAAAACTATCTTTTGTCTCAGAAATTAAAAATCCAATAAATCTTCCAGAAAAAATGCTGAGCCCAGGATTATTTTATAAGAGCATCTGAGTGCTTCCACAAATTTATAGAAGTAGTTAGGTAGGATTTTCTTTATTTAATGATATGTGAGATTTAGTAGATGTTTAGTGAGGACTGAGGCCCTCAATTACCTCAGCTGTCAAGAATGCTGATGGCTGACAGCTTTTAACTAAATCCTAAGCATAATTTGGTTAGGTTCTCTAGAAATTGTCCTCAGTTCAAAAGATCTGCATCCCTTAAATCTATGCTCCCTTCCCAGGGCAGCTTGCATCCAATGACTGGTTCAGAGGGATGCAAAAAAGACAACTCCTGTCTTACAATAGGATGATTGTGTAAGGCCATCCCGGCTCGAGAATTCTCCATAGGGTTTGCTAAGGCCTTTGTGGTTATTGCACTGCAGTTCAACTTCTTCTCCTGCCCAATCCTACTCCTTTTCTCTCTCACAGTTAATTCCCAATACACTTTTCCAATAAACTTACTTCATGAAAATCTCAGTTTCAGAGTCTGTTTCTCAGACGATCTTCTCTGTGACATGGATGTTTAGAAAGACAACAAATATACAAATATTTTGGCCTTTTGAGCCATGCTTCTCTTGCTCAGGCCTGCTTCTACGTCTGGAAGTGTACTTTCTCTTCTAATAAAACTTTTCTTTTCTACTGTAAAAAAAAATAAATAAATAAATTCAAATGTTTTCTTATACATTGTATTTAAAGAAATCCATCTTTTAGAAACAGCCTCATAGTCAATACTTTTAGAGACCCGAAATAAAAGTTCCCAGAGATGTTCAAGTACATTCTAAGTATTTCCCTTCAATCTTATCATAAAAGATTAACAATCAGGAATATAGATCCTGCAACCTTATCTATTAGTTCTAGAAAATCATCTGCTAGTAAGACTAATAGCATCTTCCAGAGTTGTGCAAACTATAGATTCTTCTGTTCAAATAAAATGTTTCTGACCCAGGTTGGGGAGCTCCAATAACTAAACCCATAGCTCAGAGTTCTAGGTAGATGCGATGATAAATTTTTACTCTCTAAGAAGAATGTTAAAACTTGAAGCATTATACAACAATGGAGAATCCCTGCTAACACTGCATTATCAAGTGCATACCTATGCTTTACAGGCATAATTGTGAAGCTTGCATTTCCTTTATGCCTTTAAAGCTCCCAGAATAAAGAAACTAGACTGAAATGAGGATAAAGTAAAGTAAACGATTTTCCTTTGGTTTTGATTAAACTGCTATATATAGCTAAGGGGTTCTTAATCAATGATGTTGCCCCCAGAGGACATTTGGAATTCTCTGGAGATGTTTTTGATTGTCTCCACTCTGGGGTAAGGAAGCTATTGGCGTCTAGTGGGAGGAGGCCAGGGGTGCTGCTAAACATCCTACAATGCCCAGTATAGAGATCTTCTACTTAAATAATTATCTGCTTTAAAATGCCAATAAATTGATAATCCCTGCCAGGAGGCACTCAGTAATTGAGAAAAGGACAGAGTTACTCTATGTTTTCAATAGACAACTACTAAATTAGTCAAATAATTTCTGTAAAAAAGCATTATTTTGTAAACATGTCCACAGTTAACTTTGCTTTTTTTCTTTCAGATCATAGAGCATTTTTATATTTCTTAACATCAACAGATGAGGAAATGATGAAAATTTCAAATGTGCAATGTAATTTTAATATGATGTTGGATGACTTGTAGAGTATAAGATTATATATGTTATATAGCATATAATATTTGCAATCTTTCTGGGGTTGTTTTTGGTACATTAGAGCTTATGTGAAAGTGAAAAAGTAAAATCTTTAGGATCAAATAATAATGCTGCCAGGGTGATCTTGTGGAAATAAGACCATTCATTTTCCCAGTAGTTTTTTTCCTCATAAAAATGCTATTGAACTGCTGCTCTAACATTTCAAATCAACAAATATTTATTGCACTTACCATAGATAGTGTTATGAAGGTTGGAGAGAGTAGCATACCATTCCTGCCTGGACAACTTACCCTTTTCTACATGGCTGGCTACTTAGAATTTTGCCTAATCTAATGTTTAAACAAACTTAAATTTTATTCTTATAAGCTACTTATAAAAAAACAAAAAGGAGACTTTACTTTTCTAGTTCAAGCCACTAACACCACAGGATGAGCTTCTGAAGAGTCAATTTAGACATAGATAGGTTTTCTTATTGTTCGGAAAATGGCTACTTGCAAAAGATTAACTGACCAGCTAGCTAGTCAGGTCACTTTGATTTTCTTAATTTAGTTAGAAAAATGGTCAATATTGTAAAAACAAAATCTCAACCTATTGTTAGATTGTAAAGTGAAGTTGTTAATATTACAGAGATTGAAAGCAAAAAGTCAGTCATAAGTTTAAAGAGATGAATGATTCTCTTCCAGAAACTGGACCCATCTGAGCCAGTTCCACTATAAGTCATGATACTGTGACCTAGACACTAACTCTCTCTAAGCTGTCATGGGAAGTTTGAAATTCCTACTTATGAAATGTATATTGTCCACAGAGATAAGAATATTTTTTAAAAACAAATTCTCCATTTGTGATCTCAAAGATGGTTTACGGGTCACCTGAATTGACTATGTCTCTCTTTTTTTTTTTTTTTGTCAACAATCTGTAAGGTTCTTATTTTGATGTTTTGTTTAAGTTGTTTGTCCAGTTTAGAAAAGGCAAGCCACCCCAAACCAGGAGGAGCCTTCAGTTTGAGGAAAAGCCAAGACAAAAGATGTACTTGTGAATAGTCAGGCAAAGGTGTCCTCAGAGAATGACAATGGAAGAAAGCTCAAACTGTTAGAAATTCACAGAAGGAACATGAGGGTCATGCTGTCTGTAAGGTAGAGCATAATTTGGTTAGGTTCTAGTAGGTGCCAGCCAGTTGATCTATACTTATTATAAATGCTAGCAGAAAAATACCTGAGGATCATCTTATTTCCAGTAAAAGTCCATTATGCATACTAATAATGAAAGATAATAAATAGAGTATCCAGACTGATTATGTTCAAATATAAGCTCTGCCACTTGCTAGCTACACGTATATAATGAGACAAATATTTTAACCCTTCTGTATCTCAGTTTCTTAATCTGTAAAACCAGAAAATAACTGCACATATGTGTTTGTTGTGAAGGTTGAAAAAATTAATATATGTAGCGATAGCATTCTGCATGTTAGCTACTGTTATGGTAAATATTTTAGCTTCAGATATATTTGCCTCTAAAGTTAGAGAAATCAAATATGTTTTTGTTTTTACAAATATGTTTAACTTTTGTGTTAGTATAGGCAATGAAATTATTTTATCTAGTAGTTTTATTCAAGAAACATTTTATTAAGAGTTGTTAATCTTGGTTGTTGTTTTTCTGCACTTAAAATGACCTAAGGGTTAAGTTTTAGTCATACCTCAAGTCAGGTTGACCCAAATTAAATAGAACTTAATTATTTAGTGTTTTCAAAAAATGAATGAAAATCTTAAAAATAGAATTATTACTGGATATGAAAGTAATCTACAAATCATAGAATTTTAGTGTAAAGGCTCTGGCCTTTGGATTAAATGGAAAAAATAAAAGAATTACAGTGTTCAGTCTTTTCATGGATATCATTAAGGAGGAGTTCAAGGTAAAATTCTAAGTAGACTTGAAAAGAATGCACCAAAGGAATTATGGATATTTGTGTTTCATAATTACATTGCAAGATTATTTTTTAAAAAAATTGCTTAAAAGAAAATTATAATTCTCTATCCAAAGCAATCTTTATTGCTCCTGTTAGAGACAAAATATTATCCCAGTTGGATTATTTTAAATCAGCAGTATAATAGAAAGAATGGCGAATTTGAATCAGAGTCAGGGTCGATGTCTGAGTTTTGGTTCTGTATAGCCATGTGGGTATAGGCAAGACAATTCATTGCTGTGCACGTTTTTCAGATGTAAATAATAATTCCTGTCCATACTTCAGAGTTTAATTAAGACCAGATGAAAACAAGTTTTCAGGTCTTTGTAAACATTAAAACAATATCAAATATAAGTAATAATCACTTATTTTTATTAACGTTTTGCCATAATTAAGCAG